GACTTTTACTATCAGGATTATTTTTATCCATGAATCTATCTGGATTAAATACTTCAGGATCTTTCCAATATAATTCGTGGTGATGAATTTTATCGATATTTATTAGAAACATAGTATCCTTAGACCATTTATAACCTCCTATAATTTCCGGTTCAGAGTTTCTTTTCACATTTCTCAGTGTTATAGGATGGATTCTTGCAACTACAATTATAGAAATTATAGAAATTATAAATTATAAAATATTATGTATTGAAAATTAAATGAGATAATATTATTATCAATAATATTAAGCATAAACATAGAATTGAGTTCAACATATAAATTACCTACCTTCTTTTATGATAGCTTCGACATATTCAAGTTTTGATATATCTTCAAATGTAAGTAAAGAATTTGGATCTTTGCCAAGAACACATTCAATTTCTTCTATCATTCGTTGTTTTACTTTCGGATAATTTTCCAAGAAATAAACTAAAAAGCATATGGAATTTCCACCCTTTACAAAAGAATAAAAATGTAATTATTACTATTCTTTCAGAAGAGGGAAATCATCACATAATGAAGTTAAGGTTAAATAATTTACTTACCGAACTAGTACCAGCAGATATAGCTTCCATAAAATTAGGTATGATCTGATCATCAGACATTGGTTTATCATGAAGATCATCCGCGATCTTTTCGGTAACATCTCTCTCAGTGTTCACCGTTAAAAACATCGTTAACATGTCGGATTTCAATTTTTGAACAATTGGAGTTTTCTTAATCTCTTCTCGCCTTGATTTAATAATTTCATGGATATTATTCTCTAACCAATTATTATTATCCTTAAAGTATTGAGAGTATCTATTAATTCCAGGGAAATTTCGAATAATTCTAGGAACGAAATAGAAATATGCTACACTATGGCTGAATATACCTAGTGCTTCTAGAAACTGATTACTTTCTTTAAGAATACTTTCTGGTAAAGATAATTTTTCATTTTGAGTTAATTTATTATAATAATGTGCTAATGCATAAGCAGGTTTATTGGTGGTAGTAACAAAAATGGTATCAAAGAAATATCGTTTTGACCAATGACTAAAATCCAATACTGTTTTTTCGCCAAGTTTTTCCCAATATTTTTCCATTTCAAAAAAACTATTTTGTACTGCTGTTACGGATTGTTTAATAAATACGGGGGACAACATTACTTTGTCAAAGAATTTACGATAGTAATACCAATCATTATAATTATTATTAAACATTAAACCAGCATTATATAAACCACCATCTATAAGTCCTTCATGATCATCCTTTACTCTATTATGAAATGGACCATTAACAACAGATTTCATCATTGGTTGAATAAGTTCATCATTATTACACAAAATAAAACGTTGAGATCCAATATAAACTTCACTAATATCACCATATTTGAGTAATTCGCTCGCATCGAAGGTAAAATTTTTCAAAGCTCGGTGAATGCTACCAATGAATGGTAATGGGAAAGGACCAGGAAGTGGATTCTCACGTGTAAAATATTTGTAATAATAATATGAGATATAAGTTATTAAAGAAACTAAAGATATCTTTGTTATTTCGTACAAAATATATTTAATTTCCATCTTCAATATCTGAATATTTTTTGATAGCTTATCCAATTTTGCTAAGCTTTTATAACTAAATTCTTTATTAAATTCTTATATAATTATTTTAATTATTAAAGATTGGACTAAATAAGAAAAGAACTTCAATTTGTAAATGATTATAAATTACAATTATTTCTTAAATTATAGGTTGAATGCAGGTGGGGTAACCTTTTATATCACTAAATTTACACTTTTATTATAAAAATGCTTAAAAAAGCAATCTTTTAACAGCTGACTAGAAAGAAAAGTTCTATAGTACCAAGTCGCTGCGGTATGATCAATTTGTTCCTTTCATTTCTTTTTTTGGATAATTTAAAACAAATAATATAATAATTTTGGACTTTTTTGATTTTTTAAAAAAAGGAAATGATTGATAAAAATAAAACTTTATTTTTTGTTTTTTCGAATTTGAATAAATAATTCGTGTGGAATTTTTTCCATAGCTATCGTGTCAAATCACTATAAAGGAATAATTTGGATTTGATAACTTCAGAGGTAATAAATTTTTCGTAAATTATGGTATCAAAAGAAACTAATTGGATATACAAATTTGAAATAATAACCATGCATGCATAATGAGTTGAGTATATTGAAAATATAATAATCGAATTAATTAAATAAATGAAATGCTCAACTTCCTTTAAAAGATACTTGTAATAAAATAAAAAAATTTCATTTATATGATTCCCATACAAGAATAAAAAATGATGATTGTTCCAAAAAACAGTATAAGCAGCTTTTACAACTAACATTTTTCTTCTTTTATTAATATACTTTCAATGTCACTTTTGAAATAGTAAAGCTTTGGTATTTTTCTCAAAATGAATATGAATCTTAGATGCGTTGCGTCATTTTTTTTTTTTGAAAGTAACATATGCTTTTTGAATATCGTGGTATTCTCAAAAAGGGAATTATTCTGAAAGATATAAGCAAGAAAGTCATATCTGTTATAATTGGTAAAAGAAATGAATTTTAAATAAATAAATGCATTACCATAATAAAATGTTAAATTACGTGGGCAAAGTTAAGGTCTGGGAATTATGCCTATTAGAGACAATGAGATTTAACAATAACTATAAATTTGTGTTTCCTTTTTTATCTTATATTATGAAAACTTAAGATCTCAACACATCGTATTATCATTTTTTGATTCATAATTTTTTCTCAATAAAAGAATAATAAAGAATTATTATTATGATATAAAGTATAGAAAAACGATATGATATGATATTCAGTTACGAAAACTTAATTTGATCACGTATAAAAACTTTATATATTATCTTTGACTTCTTATTTCTTTTATTTTTATGACATTGACCCATTGTAGCTTGTTTGCTTTTTCAAACCCGATTTGCCAATAAATCAGCATTAAAAAAGTTATAATTATTTATTAAAGAACAGGTATAATTTTTAAAGGGCAAGATCAATGCAATTAAATTATTTACGTTGAAAATAGAAATTAAATCACAATTTAATTATACTATTAATAAAATGTCAAAAAATTCGATTAAGAGAAAATAGAAAAATTATTATAATAATACAAAGAAAGAGCAACAGAAGAAAATATATCTCAAGAAACAGAAAATATGGGTAACTTTTCATGTGACGGAATTTAATGACCTTTGTAATAATATACTCTTTCGAACCCTTGCGTACAGTACGTCATATGTAATAATATACTCTTCCACAGTTAGGATCAAGCAGTCACTTGCCTAAACGCTGTGGACAACTATTAAAATAACTCTATAATAGTGCACACAGGTATAATCTGAAAGTACGTAAGTGGAGTAAAAGTATCTTTATTTCAGCTTACTACGCAAACTTTCGAATCTTAGCTTCAAACTTTATGCAGTAACTTTATTCAGAGAAACAAAGTAGTTTATCAAATTTATTTAAAACTTTGGCAATAGAAATATTATCATGGGTAGGATGTCTATCCCTATTACCATTTATCACGAAATAAAATTTATTGAAGTATTACGAGATATTTTGAAATTATTACTATTGTTATCAAATTTATTGTAAAGTGTAGCAACAGAAATATATCACTGCTTTGGCTTTTCTTATCCTTATTACTAAACTGTTGCAAAGAATATTTATTGTTTCTCAAATTTCCAAGAAAATTACTATTATGTTTTTTTATAAATGAAAGGAAACAAAAACGTAAATCCCCGAAATTGATTAAAAGAAAAATTATAAAGTCTAAAAATTGCAGTAGAAGACCTATCCCCCTTTTACACCCCAGGTTACTAGCTATTTTATACATTTTCGGATTGTTTTCTTCTATCCTTTGTTCTTCGTTCTTCGAGGATGACACACAAGGATGAATAATCTGTCATCCTGGATGGTACCACACTCATCCAGGTGTCACTGTCATCTTACTGTTATCTCCCGTGAATTCCGTATTATTTCGAAATCCTTGTGCAAAAATCTCTTTGTGACCTAAATATATCATAAAACCTTCAAAAATACGATGAACAATCATATAGCAGTTGTGTAATGTGATTGATTTTTTTAGACAGATCAGAAGTTAAATATTAATTTATTTATTTATAGAAATTTTCTAACATTTGAAATTATCAATAATGAATAAGCAAATAAAATAAATTTTAATATTACAATTTTTCTAACAAAAATCCAAATAAATGAAGAAACTAATAGAAAACAATACTTTCTGAATTCGCAATCAAAGTGTTTTAATATTTTATTTCTCCCCACAAATGTACATAATGCTCCTTAATTTCTTATCAACGTATTACTTCTTGAAAGCTAATATTTGAACATCTTTTTGTCAAATTATTATTCAATATTTTTTTTCATTTTCTTCTTTGCCATCAATTGAATGTGATATCGATTTGTCTGAAGTGAAATTTCTTTCAATAAATGTTGTCTGAAGATTTTCAAAATCATCTTGATTCCGTGTACTGTCATATTCCAAAGTTCCAAATCGACAAATATTTAATGTTTGAAATAATCTGCCAATAATATTAACTAACAAGTTAAGACATGAAGAGGCGAGTGTAAGAAGAGGGATTATATCATATGTAATCACACTAAAATGGTATAATAACTACAATATAGGTAATTTTTATAATTAGAAAACAAATCAAAATAATATTTTTTTTTTGTTATACTGTATAATTAAAAAGAATTTTAAGACTGACCTGAATGATCATTTGCGGTATATCTTCAACGAAAACGGTTAAACAAGAGACCCAAAAGATTCTATTTTTTCCTTTAATTGAAATTGGGGCTTGGAAAATTTTAAATCCGGCCAAATTTGAATTGAGAATACTTAATATTTCAATGTCAGCACTTGATAAAACTGTAAATACTGATGCCGCCTTTTCATTTTGAGTGAACCAAACCCTGAAATCCTTTGATTTGTTTTCCTTACTGATAATATAAAATGCACATATAGTGTTGATTCCAATTGGAACAGTCAGGAATATGACACTATTTATATATTCATAAGTTTTTAATAAATAAATGATGCAAAGTTTATTGGAGCAAGACTCCATTGGATTTAAAAAATAAAAATAAATAAATGATGCAAATGTAAATATGCAGATATAAACATGCAAAGATAAATCTATATATTAATTGATAAATTTACCTTGGAATATATAATGCTTTGATAACTTTAGCATTCTTGCTGACGAAAAGAATATCCATTGCTAAATCAAAAATAATTAATCCAAGTTGTAAAATAGCCATGTAATGACCCTTTAAGAGAATTTAATAAATGTAAGTACACAATCTACATTTTCTAAAATTGTAAACCAAACAAATAAAATATCATTTTTTACCTTTTTGTTCATTTTTTGTGCAATTAAGAAAAGAACCACTAAAATTGCAAGTATTAACATAATACCCAAAAATTCCCACTTGTATTCATCCCATAAGTTTTCTAAGGAAAAAGAAACATTTCAAAGAGTGATTAGTAATGATAGCATGTTAAATAAATTAAAAATTCAATATATATTCACGTTTTGGTTTAAATCCAAAATTTTCATCTAAATACTTTGTGGTAGGTAATAAACTAATGGAAGTCATGTTTCTATGTACAATCATATCATTTAAATCGTCTACAATGAATGCTACACTTCTTTCTTCATTGGATGATTCAATATTAAGTGAAATCAATATTTGGCGACTAGAACTAACAGTGGTATCAACTTGGGTTTTCCTATTTGAACTTAGTCGCTTAATATTAACAGGAATAATTCTAGATAATTCAAGATGCAGATCTGCAAAGAATTGATCTTTTCCATTTGAATTAAGATTTTCGTAGTATTCGGTGCCTTCTATAGTTAAACGCAACACTCCAGATACCGTATCTATTGTAGAAATTTTTCAATCCATTTTGAATGATTTAATATTGGATACACATAATGACAATTGCACTGAAATTTACCTGCAAAATTTTTTTCTTCATTTGAACCTAAAAACCGTTAGGATATAAAGAGTGATAGATATTTAATATTTAAATTAATAACAAATAATAAAATAACATCATTTACATACTTGTATTAAATTTCCAAATATTATCATTTATACCCGCTAAGGTTTCTTTGTATGCTTTGTTTCTTACAAAATTATCGTCAACTTTAACATAAAATTGGCTATTAGAATTACTAAAGGCACTTTTGATAACATTTACAGTTACAATCAATCCATTATCAGTGACGTTACAAAAACTATTGACACCATTAACAAATTGTCGTATAATGTTGTCGCCACTATTATTATATTGATAGATCCAAATGTACCCATTAGAAAGTTCTACCGGATCATAATATGTAATCGTAATTTTATCCGTTGAGGTTAAAATACTAACATTAATTAAGGGACTTGTATTTTTTATTTGAAGATTTAAATAACCATAATCCGAATTTATTGAGTAATGAGGAATGTCTGTGGTCAAAAAACTCCACGCATCTGAACTTTCTATTTGTGAAATTAACATAGTATTATTAGGTAGTAATATCAAAACTCCCTTCAGATTTACAACTGATGGTTCAGGAGCATCCCAGGGAAAAAACTTATTTGTGTATTCGTCAAAATAGTATACAATAACATTGGTATGCGAGTTTGCATCAATAAAATAACTATGGTATAAATAACCACCCAAAGGAATACTGTCTATTTGCCATTCAGTAGTAGAATTTGAAGGTAATTCGGGTAAGTTTATGCTTAATGGGATGATTTCCGTAATTGAGCCAGATGATAAGAAATTAAGTTTCACATAATAATCAACATCGTTCCGTATGATGTGGAGTGTACAAACTTGTCCAATTCCTGTACTTGAAGTACCAGAAAATATATCAGAAATTGTAATATTATCTAAAGGTAATTGATAAATCATTCTTGGTGTATCAAATTGTTCATCATTATATCCTTTTGTTAAAGCATACACCGCGGCACGAATTTCAAAAGGATTATTGCTACTAGAATTAGTGAAATTTCCCATGATTATACTATAACCCTCGTCAACAGTAGCTATGGTTCTTAATACTGAAGAAGTTCCATTGTTTTGAGGAAGTGTAATATTTCCTTCGTGTAACCTTTTAATATTTAATGAATCATCTCTAAAAATAAAATTAAAAATAAAAAATTAAAATTGAAAATTGAAAAAATTGTAAAACCTTATAATGTTATGGTATAAAAACTCACATCACATATTGTTTCCACTCGATATAAGAAGCATTCACACCAGCTATCCTTATAAAACCTTTTTCTGGATTAACGTTAGTCACTATTCCCGTTGACCCCCATGTACCGTTTATGATGTAAGCCCCCCCGAAAAATACTTCACTTCATAGTTTAGAATATATTTTTAAATAAAAGTAATAATAATTGTCATTGATATTAAGGATAATATGATGTAATATGATATGATTATGATGTAATTATTGAAAACATTTACCTATATAATTTGCCATCCCAATCAATAATACGTCCCCATTCTTCATAAGTTGTAAAATCGCCCGAATCTGAAGCATTAAAGTATCTAACAAGTATGAAGCCCTTATGAAGTGCGTATATACTTATAGGGTCCAGGTAATCACCACCAGAACTTGTTATGCGCCAATTAAATTCTTGAATTTTTAGGTCTTTGTCTATTTCACTGACTGTTCCATTGGGATGAATAATGCGCAAAGATAACACTTGTCTTATCCATGCTTCTCCAGTAGATGAAGTTTTATCACTATCCCTATTAATAATTCGAAGAACCACTGTCCCATCGAAATATTCCCCATGTTGCCACACCCGTGGGGGTGTTGAATATGGCTTCGTTTCATTATGTGTAAAATTTCCGTAACCTTCTGATACCGAAGACGTCAGAGAAAAAATTGTTATCCACGCTGTTAGCAAAACAATCTGATTCAAACTTAATCGTATCATTATTATGAAACTTAATGTTGAAATAATATATATAAGTTTTGAATTATTTAAGAAAACTATGATAAATTTTGTGAATTTCTTTCGAAAATTTAGCATCAAACTTTTTTGTTATTTATTTTTTGTTTTTTTTTTTTTATTTTGTTTTTATTTTTTATTTTTTATTTTTTGTTTTTATTTTTTGTTTTTTATTTTTATTTTTGACGGAGACGAGAAAAAATTTTGTTGCACGAAGTTTGCTCCAATGAATACATTATTTATTTAATATCTTAAACGTCGTAAATAAATTATTTTTTGTCTTAAATTCTTAAGTCCCTGATCCATGAATGAACGGTACTAAACTATATAATTTTAAGGTAAAAATTTTTTAGTATATATTGTTAAATTAAAAAAAAAAAAATCGTAAATGCTGAGCTGACATAATAATCTAGATGCGATCTATTAGATCCTAATTTCCTAAAACAGTTAATACAAAATTCATGTGGCCAAGCCTCATGTCATAAATTAAGAAAATTATTGAGCCACAATTATATGATGAAATATTTTTTAAAACCCAAACCGGTTAGGGTTAAAAGTTATGGATAAAAATAGGATTTGTATGTAGAATTTTGCAAGGAACATGACTCAAAAGGCAATTCATAATCAAAATTGAATCTTACAAGTATTTTTTTTTTAAAAAATGAAGCTCTTTCTATTTTTTGATTTGGTTAAAGATTAAGATCTGACGATTTATTGGGTAAATTTCATTGGTGCGTTTTAATATATACAGTACAATCTTGTTTTGCTTAATGCATCGTACAAAAACCAATTATTAATTCAAAATACAAAATATGCAAAATACAAATACAAAAAAACACACGAATATTCCGAGAAACAAGTTCGATGGCTGTGAAAATATCATCTCTCAAAATTTGTCATCATATTTCATTATTTTTAGTGTGACCCGAGAAATTTAATTTAATTTTGATAAATTAGTTATTTTGGCATTTATTTGAACATAAAAATTATCATACATTATTATACGATTATCAGCACAACGAACCATACAATACTACATATATCTTTTAATAATTTGTGATCGCAGCCACATATAAAAGTTTTTAATTTATTATTTAAATAGTCAAACTGCCACTATGTAACTTGCAGACAATAATAAGTATTCCTTCATTTAAATACAAGTCTTATTTAATTAAAATTGAGAATATTATCGACATTTTAATTCGTGCGGCCGTTCCAATTTTGATCGCTAATAATTCTCTTAATTAAATGAAATAGGTCTAAATCTTTACATACTATGCAGATTTGATTATCTATAAGTCTACTTAGTTTTGACGATTAAGTTATAGAATTATATGTGGCTACGATCAAAAATTATTTTCGATTTTATATTATAGTGAATTCCGATAGATTATATATTTATATAAAATCGAAAATAATTTGTGATCGTAGCAACATATAAAAGTTTTTAACTTATTATTTAAAACATCAAAATGTTACTAGGTAGTCTTTTAGATAATAAAATTATGCATCGGCTGTAAAATTTTAGATCTATTTCATTTAAATTAAGAGAATTATTGCGACCAAAGTTTGAACGGCCGTACGAATTAAAACACCGATAATTCTCTTGATTTTAATTAAAAGGGGTAATATTTTTTTTACAGAAGATACAAATTTTAATTATCTACAAGGTTTCTTAGTAACATTTTAATGATTTAATTATGATTTAAAAATCTTCTATATGTAGCTACGATAACCAATTATTATTATGATTTAAAAAACTTCTATATGTAGCTACGATAACCAATCATTTAAAATTTTATATTACAATCATATCGGGCACCGAAATATAGTTTTCGACCAGTGCATATGACATTTATATAATATTCTGACAATTTTATTACCATCCAATAGTGTGAACTGTGAAGTTTTTGCTTCTCAAATGGTTTCATGCTAAAAATATCCTGGTATATTTTCCTGTCCGATATATAATTGCACACCATTCTTTTCCTTGTAATCTTCTATTTGGAATTCCACCATTTTTTCAAAAAACATCACATGTTCTGGCTCTTGTTTGAGACCCAGTACTTAAACTCGAATATTGTGTACTTACTAGCCCTGATTTTGCATTCTAAAAGCGGTTTAATATACTCTAATGTGTATTCTGTTTTGTAGAACCCTTTGCAACTTTAGTGTAATTTTCTATGTCAACTTTGTAAGGGGAATTTATAATATTATTATTCTTCTTCTTGCTGCGTTATTGAAATTACATAAATTTGCTTATTTGTTTCATTATTTTTCCTATTATCATTGTCGCCAATTAGAATCATCCCATTTGAGTAAACCTGTTCTTCTACCAAAATTGATTAACTATCATTTTGGAGTGATTTTGATGCTTACATATTGCATTGAGTTTCCATTGCTGATTTTTGACATAGTTAAACTGGTTTCTTTTGAAGGAGTATTAGTTTCGCAGGCATATTCAAAAAATATACGTTCACTGTCTTCTATAGGAAATTGACCGCTTACTAGCTTGTATTCATCAAATTTTTTATCCCGCTTTGCTTGCCAAGAGTACTGATTTCATTATTTTTCTTTGAGTAGCTAAAATCGATTGTGATAAAACTAGTTGGGTCTTCTTGTAATGCCTTTCCCATATCCTCATCAATTTGTACCAGTGTACCGAATCTATCCATTTCTCTGGATATCTCTCTACCTTTGGAATTGTTATTGCCTCCTTGTTTGGGGTGCCTTGTACCATTATTACTTCTTCTCTGTCACTCTCCTTGAATTATAAAAGGCCCTATTATTTTCAAATTCTTTGAAAAAAGGATTTTGTACTATAAAACATATTCTTGAATCTCAAGTTTTGAGATGCTTCTTCCGCCCCAAAAATGTTAGAAGGTTATTATGCACGCAGTAAAAAATTCTCTTTGAAAAATGTTGATCTAAATGATCGACAAGAAGGGTCTGTATATAATCCTAATGATGCTTATCATGCATAAACCTTCCACTTTATTTAATAAACAAACAAATATATTGTAAATTTTTCTTTTATTTTTAAAATAAAAATCAAATAAAGTTCTTGTTGGATACTGTTTAAATTTTTTATACATTTTTTTCATGTCGATAACATAATTTATTTTCATAATTTATAAATTTATATACTGGTGATGGTACAATTAGATAACAAACTTTTGCTGCGTCAACATGCCAATATTACCAAACTTCATAATAATTATAATTATCTTCTATTTCTCCTTTTTTTTCTTTGTCCCATATACTCCATAATCTTTTAAATATATCAGAGGTTTTTTTTACGTTTTCAATTATTGGTGATGAGTCATTCATAGTGTTGTAGCTGTTATTATTGTCAATATTATCGTTATGTTGTTGTTATGTTATTGGAATTTTCATCAACATCAATGATATTATTAATAACGTCCCCAAAACTATTATTGTTGATATTATTCACAATTTATCCAAGAAATAAGAAAATAAAAAAATTTCTAATTTAATATGTTAATTGTTTCACAAAATATATCATACTGAGGTGGCACGAATGCCACGGGGAACGCTGTACGAGGATTGCGGAAGGTTACGAAGGTCACGGAAGATGGTAGCAAGATGACAGTGTTACCTGAGGATGAGTGTGCTACCATCTAGATGACAGATTTCTCACCCTTGCACAGCATCTTTCATCCTTGTGTGTCATCCTCGGGAAAAAGGGGAAAACGTGTTTGGACGTGACAACAAAAAGAAAAGGAAAACAAATTGGAAGGTATAAAAGTAACTAGTGGAAAAAGGAGAAAAAGAGAGAGATTCCTCTTCTCGCGAAAACTTTTAAATCATATAATTTTCTTACCTTAATAACGAATTTCCTAATAATTATATCATAACAAATAATTTCGTAACAATCCGAATATTTCATAAATATATTATTTTAAATAATTTTCTAATAATTTTTAGTAATAAAAAAAAAGAGAAAATTTATTCGTAGCATGCGCGATGTTACCGCACCCCAAAAAATTTATCATGTGATATAATATTTAGTCACATAACACGCGTACTGCGCGTTCTGCGCGTACTGCATGTACTACATAACTATTACATAAATATTTTTTTATTGATTTTTTTTTTTTTACCACACTTTCTTTCGATAATATAATTTTTTTAACTCTACAAAAAATACATTAGAGCTATTTTAAATAACCATTTCTATATTAATAAAGAATTCTATTTCAATTAACAAAAAAAAACGAGTTACATAGCTCAAGTTGTGATTTGTAAGATAATAATTATGGAAGCCAACAACGCTTCACAAGTTAGTTAATTTGCAAATTATTTTTTGCTGTTATATAATAGTAAATATGTATTGGGGATCGTGATAATGAAAAAAAAATTATTTAATAGTGTTAATTAGTATTAATTTGTTGACTTTATATATCAATAGTTAAAATTTATGCATCTATAGAATTAGTTTATTAACGTTAAATTTGTAACTTTAAAATCAATAGTGTTAGCATTAGTTTATTAATTTCTCATTTGTTTATCAAATAATCGTTAAATAAAATTATTAAATTGTTAAATAGCAAGAAACTGAACATGAAATTGAAATTCCTACGGTTAATATTCTTGGTTCAGAATTAGAAGGTCTTGATTCTACAAAATATCCTTCATTAACCAACCCTACGGAATTATCGATTGGTTCAAGATTTAATTCTTGGGAAATTGCGGAACATTATTTAAAAGAGCATGGAAGGCAAAGAGGATTTGTAGTTAATCGGTATAGAGTTGAATTTCATAAATGTCAATCAGAAAACTCAGTACGAATTGTTAAAAAAAGAACATTTTCGTGTGAATATTCTGGAAAGTATAAGCCCATCAAATCCAAGCCAATTGAACAACAACGTAATAAGGGGTCAAAAAAAAACTGATTGTAAATGGCACATTAATTTAAGTAAACCCGAAAGTAGTGATTTTGTGCATATAACATTTATGCATCTTGAACATAATCATGAAATACTCATTGATAATGCAAGATTTGCCACAACATTTCGAAAATTTGATCAATCTATAGTGAATGAGATATTACGTACTGTTGTATATGGATGCTGTGATGCATACACCATACGAAATTTATTGCAACCATTGTATCCTGATCAACTTTTTCTTACTCAAGATTTATCAAACACTATTCAAAAAATTAAACGTGAAAAACAAATTGCTGGATCGGATGCATCTTATTTGTTGAAACTTCTACTTGAACAACAAAAGGAAGAACCAATGACATTTGTACAACCATTGATTAATGTAGATAGTAATAGGTTGTGTGGCATATTCTGGATGACAACAACTCAAATTATATTATGGTCCCGTTATTCAGATGTTATATTACATGATAATACTTCAAGAACTAATAAATATAATTTTTCCGTTATCATTATTTATGCTTGTTGATAATGATGGAAAATCACGTTTGGGAGCTCAGGCATTTTTAAATGATGAAACTCAAGAAAGTTATGAATGGGTTTTACAGCAAACATTGGATGCAACGGGAATTGAGCCAAAAGTTATAATTACGGATATGGATCCTGCAATGGACGCAGCATGTCAAACTATATATAGTAATGTATACCATATACATTGTATTTGGCATATGGCTCAAAATCTACCCAAACGTCTCAAAAAAAAACTTGATGCCGCAGACTATAAAAAACTTATTTGTGATTTTTGGAAAACCCGTAATTCATTATGTGCAGAGGTTTTTGAGGAACGATTTCAAACTTTACTAGGTAATTTTCCTAATTTTAATAGTTATTTACATGATCCCATTTATTCAACACGGAATTCATGGGCATGTGCATTTACAAATTGAGTATTTACTGCTGGTATGCAGTCAACACAATTTGTTGAATCCATTAATGCAATTATTCACAAAGTTGTTTCATCCAGTTCTACTATTGCTAATGTAGCTGAAGCATTAGATTCTCGGATGCAAAAAGAAGAATTAAATAAAAGTTTTATAGCATGGAAATACCAATCAACAATATATCACCAGCCATTTGTTGTGGAGAATTTTTTTAGTAACATTAATATTATAATTCAAAAATATTTTTCACCACGAATACACAAGCAAATGCGTGAATCGGTACTTTATAGATGTGAAAAGTTAGATATTGATGATGCATTTGAATTTATTGAAGACCAATCGGTAGGTGAATCAGTATTGATTTATTATATTACTTTTATTTAGTTAATATCTTACTTTATATTATTTTAGAATCAGAACGAAATTTATGAAAATCAAATATCCGATTATCAAGAAGAAATCCATAATATTGAGGATTATTATGATTATCGGCAGACATATCTAAGGGCATTATTAAATTCAGTACAAAAAGAAAAAATTAAAGAAGTATAGCAAATTATTCCTTATATGGTACCAAAATCATATCAGCATATTATTCTTCTTGATGATGGAACTCATTTATGTACATGTTTACTATTGGTTTCACATGGAATAATCTGTCGTCATTATTTTAAATTGATGATTGAAAATTCAAGTGCATTATTTCATATAATGTTAATGCTGACACGATGGCTTCAAGATAATGCTTGGAATAATATTGATTCAATTTTTAATGAACCTTTTGTAAGAACTTCATCTAAAAATTTGAAATCAATTCATAATGATGATGATAGTCAAAGAGCTTATCTTATTCCTAAGCATCATAATAATATTCAAGAAGTTGAAATTCGCCGTCACACACAAAAAAAAATAAATTATGGTCGAATTATGGGACATTTTAAACAAGCATTAAATTATTCATTAGATGATAATGATTAAGAGAATTTGGATAGTATTATATTAGCTTATATTACAGAAAAAGAATTAAAACAACAAAATAAGTCTCAACCAAAAAAAAAGAAAAGCTCTTGAAGATAAGAATTCAATTGACGAGTTAAAGATGCCCGATGGTCGTATATATGATGTAGATAGTATTGAAGATCCAGTAAAACGTCAAGGAAAAGGTAGACCAGCTATCAAACGATTAAAAGCTTGTGGTGAACAAAAAAATAAGGCAGATATTAATAAAGTACAAAAAGAGAATGTTTATGAAGATGATGATAAAGATTTGAATGATTCTAGTAATGTAAATAGGCGTAAGTGTGGTCTGTGCCATAAAATAGGTCATTATTCTCCCAAATGTCCTAATAAGTGAAGTATAATGTATGTTTTTTAGCAGAGTATTACATATAATTTTTTTCAATGTTCTTTTAATTAAGTCTAATACAAAAAATTTACATTTATTAAAGAGAAATAGATATATTACACTGAAAAAATAGTATGTTTTTAATTTTTCATTTTTTCATAATTGCAGTAAATACAAAGGAAAAGAATAAATAGTTTTTTTTTCTTATGCACAAACTTTATTTTTTTTTTGTAATTGAAGTCAAATTTTCAACAAAAATAAAAAGAAAAAATGATACTGTGCAATATGTAAAATATTTATTAGTGGAATATGAATTTTCGTATATGCTTTCGATTAAATTTTAACCAATGATTCGAAACCAAATTATAAATCACATGAAAAAGCAAAAAGCGATGAATAATATTTATAGCGGGATGTGGTGAATAAGTTTACTCTAAAAAAAAAATACAAATTGTTTCGAAATAATCTTAAAAATAATAAATAATTTTTGTAATAGTTTTTAATTTTAATAGTTTCGTGTATCGGAATAGCAATAAGGATAAGATACGCCAACGCAGTAATATATCTCTATTAACCTATTCTTTTAATAAATTTTTGATAAATATTTTAATAAACTTTTCTATATTTCTCGGCAAGTTACTCCAAAAGTCTATTAAATTTCGGCAGTGTACGAAATAAGTAGTGAAGATACTTTTACTCCACTTGCTCATCGTACCTTCAGATCATACACGTAATTGCA